GAAAAACCTTTTGAGCTCTACGAAGTGGGAATGAGAGAACTCCCTTTCTCCCCAAGCAACCGTCTGTTAAGTGAACGCTGAATCTTCTTAATAGACAAGAGAGAATAAGCAATTTGCAAACCAACTGTTTGCACTCTTTGGCAAATCTGTATAAGCGCCTCATTATTTATACAGGCCGAGTGGCTGGAGAGTTCTCCACAGGAACCCCTCCTGTTTGCAAAACGATGGCATAATATGGATCTGGAAATACTCAGTCAACAGCTGTTTTGCAAAATTCAGGCAAACTGTAGTCTGCTTCTGAGATGACCTTGAACAGCCCTCCAGATGTCTTGGATCACAGGTCTCAGGATTCCTGACCACTGGCCACACTGCCCAGGGCTGACATGCAGAAAAGGACACCTGAAGGGCACCAGCTTGGGGAAGGTTGACCGAAAGGGTGTTAGACCTTTTGCATTTCCTCATCCTGTTACCACGTCCTCCTCTAGTGGGCCTCTGCATTACCTGTTGTGCTTTTATTTATGATGTATTCACTCGGAGCACTCGGATTGCAGCCCAGCATGTCAATCACAACATGGTATCTGAAGGTGTCCCTCCAATGATGGAAGACATCCTTGAGAGAAGGGTCAGTTTCTGGTGATTCTCCTCCTTCCATGCCACCTCTCATAGCATTCTGAAGGGTCCTTGAGCTATGCAGATCAGTCTGGGGGGCACGGGAGCCTGCAGCTGGGAGGAGGAAGCACTGAAAAATACCTCTCCGTTTTCTGATGGATCACCACCCCCATTTATTTTGTCAAAATAAGGTTTTTAATGAAAGGTTAAAAACAGACTTCCTGCAGCAAAGCACTGTCATGGAAGAAAAATCAAAATCAGTGTCATTGTTCTTGCATGTGCTTGAGGGCAAGTTAGGTTAATTGCAAGTGAACTCATCAGGATATTACAAAAGGACATAATGACATGCCTTCTATTGCCTGTTGCAAGGTAAAGCTGTAAGACTATATTGTGGCGTAGCTCAGCAGTATCTCAGTATTATGACTTAAGAGTGAACTGTCTTTACTTACATAAAGACAGGTGTATTAAATGTAAGCTCCATGGATGGGTAAGATAATAGGCTTTGGAAAGTTTTAATAAATCTAACTGAAATTGAGGAGTTCCATGGCTGCAAACCTAAATGCAACACTGACAACTGTGTGCTAAAGTTGGAGCCTTTTAGGAATGATCACAAATTAATGTTTATCTTAAATAGCCTTGGTCTGGATGAGTCAAAGAACCTGAGCAGAAGATACTGCTGTTGTGCAGGTGTCTCCCCATACAAAAAACAAAAGCAGCCTCCCACAAGTGTAGCCCCTCAGCCATACAGAATGACATTGCACAAGTTCCCTAGAGTCTCAGGAACACTTTCTCGGGGCATGAAAGACCCATGTAGATGCAGGAAACCCACATTTTATGAGCTGATCTCTGCTTATGGTCATTATGAACTTGAGCCTGACTTAACCTTTCCTTATACATCCCTTGGTTACTTTGGTTGCCTTTTCTGTACCCTTTCCAGCTCTGCAATATCCTTCTTTAGAAACATAGAAACAGCGAGTCAGAAAGGGCCTCCCTGGCCCTCTAGTCTGACTGCCGGCTCTAGCCAGCTCCGCTCATGACATGCCTACCATGTTCATGTCCAGCCAATCCTGGGGCACCCTCACTAATGGGGCTTCAAGCACCTCCCATGGAAGCCCATTCCATACCCTCAAGGTCCTAACGGTCAGGAAGTACTTCCTGGCATCCAAATTGAACCTTGGTTCCCTGAGCTTGACTCCATTGGAATGTTTAGATATAGTGACCAGAAAGGTCCACAGGTGTGGTCCTTTTCCAACTGTGGTCACATGATAAGAAGTTTCCGCAGGCTTTCTTGAGATTTGGCTCCTAGGCATCTAGTGAGATATAGCTACAAGCTGTAAAGTTCTGTAGAATTTCCTTCCTGGGATTTAGCTCCCAACTTTATGATTGTAAAGAGTTACCATCGGTGATTTAGCTCCCTTTGCTGTACCCTTGTTTTGGCTTTAGCTGATGATTTATGAGTTTAAATGATAACTGTAGGGAATTTAACATCTAAATAGCATGGGTGCTTAACTTCTGCATGTTGAATTTCAGTTTACCTTGACAGTTTGTCATAGGCCTCCTTGCACTTTTCCTTCAGAGGAAAGCTCTGAATGCCCACTTATTCTCGTTAGCCTTTCCTTCATTACATTTTTAAGCAGCTGGCCTTATTTGTAATTTCTTATGATTTTTTTTTACTGTTTTATTATCTACACTATCTTGGGAGTGCTACGCCCTTAAACAAATCTAAAAATAATTATAAATAGAGCTCACACTTCAGCTTATAAACTGTATTACACATTTAATTGATTTGAATTTTCTGGTTGTTGAATTTCATGCCTACTTTGTCTTTTTAATACCTCTGTGGAAATGCAGATTTCATACAACTGCGCACACGAGTTAGGTAAGGCGCTGAGATTCCCTTAGCTTTATATGCTGTGTTATGCATTGTGTATATTGATGATTAAATTTGGTGCCATTCCTTTTAAAAGTATCTGTAGTCCCTACACTACAGGAATGGATGGTAGACATGACCCAAAGTTCCCTTTCTAATGAGATCAGCCATAACACATGACTCCCTTTGATCTGTGAATTAGGAAATTAGATTTCTTAGTTTCTCCTGTTAACTTAGCATCACCATCTTATATAAAATATAAAATAAAATAAGCAGTATATAAAATTATTCACGATTAAGACATGTGTGGGTCCCCTGTAAGTTAGGTCCCTTTAATTCATGTTTTAAGTACCACTTCCTTTCTAAGTGGTATTACAGAACACTTTTGATTTTGTTATTTAGAAACCTAAGGCTTTTTTCATGTGTTTGGAAAGCACGATGGATTTATGCCCTATTGCAGTTATCCTTTATTAGTGATAGATTTCCCTTCAGCACAGCATGAAGTTCACCTACTAAGGATTGCTCCACATTAATTTGACATCTTTTTTTCATGGTCCTTAATGGCTTCATGAACAGCAAACTTGTTTGGAGAAAAGGCTCTTTCCCAAGTCATGCTTGATTGGGAAGCAACACAAGAGCATTAGCAACTGAGATTTGGATGCACAAAATAGGACATGATTCAGATAAAATAAAATGCATTTTGGTCGAGTTTTTGATGGGAGTTTTTGCTTTCACACTGAAATCCATGGCACATATTCAATTTTACTGGACCATGCTATCCAGTAGCAGTTAGATGAAAGGAGTTATCTCGGTACTACACATAATACTAGTGTATTGAGCTGATGAAGGCAACCCATTGCTCAAGGACCAGCATGCCCACTCAAACCTTTGACACAGATTTCTTAATTCTGTATCTCTATCAGCCATCTCCTTTTCTTTAAGCATGCATAATAAAATGCACCATGTGTCTTACACAAACTCTCAGGTACTGTTAAAAATAATGTTCAGAATAGATACAGCATTGGAACCAGAACAAGTTAGTCATACTCAAATCCCACTGCAATCAGTAATTTACAATGTTTTCATTGTTTACAGTGATTTCAGTAAGATCCAAGTAGTTGGGTTTAACTCATAAAATGTTAGGGCTTGGACACACATTCATATGCATCTGCCAGTGACTACAGTGAAAATTACATCATATCACTCCATCACAACAAAATCCATTTGTCAAATCAGTTCATGAATTTGACTTCATGACATCAATGCATCTTCCCCTTAGGTAAGCCATCCAGAGACTCAGGTATTAGATGGCATATAAAAACTTAAACAAATATGAAGCATTCTGTGGTGAGGATCAAAGTCAAGAGACAAATGTGCCCACCAGTGTAAAGTAGGTATAACGACTGCACATCAACTTGTAGAAACATTTGTGTCTCCCTGCTATGATCTCCTGACTTGGAGAAACTAGGTTACTTGGAAATGATTTGCACATGGACATTAATCAGTTTATTATACTCCCTTCCTTCCGAACAAGCATATTCATTGATTGAGTTTGCATGACTTGACAACCAACCCTGGGAATAAGCTATGGAGCACAGGCTGCTTGTGATGGTTTGTCCAATGGACAATGGTAAGCTGTCAATTGAGAAGGAAAGCCATTAGGGGATCTTTGCTGGTGAAAAGGAATGACATGTATACCACTCCCTTTCCACTAGGATCCTCTAACCTAAGTGTTCTCAACATCTCCTACATTTTTGACCCTCAAACTCTAGGCACTCAGAAAACTGTCATCCCAGTAATGGGAACATATAGTTTTGACAGCTGTCAGAACTCAGTCTTCCTTCTAAAACAGAGATTGCGATAAGGCTAATGAATGTTTTTTGACCCAAGCATATGCAGCCATGAAGAAGCCACTTCGTAGGGAGGAGTCTGGGTTTGCACAACAGGACAGCACACTGTGGCTAGTTACTTATGATGCATAGGCATGAATCACTTTCTGTGCTCAAGGGTAGGTAGTTTAAGGATGAATGCCTGGAACCTGCTCCCAGTACTGAGTCATAATTACTTGATTACTCAAGTTCATGTGCATGCTAAACAGCATATTCTCCAACTTTCAAGGAATACTGGAAATTTCAGTTTGAGAGACTCAAAAAAGGATTGTAAACACCTTCATACAACTTTAATTTCTAAGATGCTGTCAGAGAAGCCATGAAATGGCAGCTTATAGTAATGTTCCATGTCTGTATAATGTTGAGGCAGAATTTGTTCTTATATCAGAGAGGTAGAAGGATGACCAGACACTTCCAGAAGTAGTGTTAGCTTTTAGCTGCAACAATTCCCATTATTTAATTTGAGGATAACAATTTATCAGCCTTAAGATGTCAATATGAGCTGACTAGCATCTGTTTTACACAGGATTTTAATTACACTGCTAAGTACTAGATGCAGAGGATTATATCAGAGCAGGGTGGGAGCTGAAGTAGAGGTGTGGGAAGGATACAGAAGTAAATAAACTTTCAGATTTCTCTATAACACAATTCAAGTTTATTCCATTCATTCTTGCAACACAAACACAGTATCATTTAGCAATCTGATGTCTATGAACCATGATAATGATAAACCAAACTGTGTCAAAATAGTTACATTGTGGAAAAAGGTCAAATATCAAAATGCACAAAGCACTACTTTTCTTCCATCACTGGGTATAAAGATATGATTGTTCTTCCATTTATAAAATATAAGACTGTTCAGTTTGAGATTTTGCATGCAACACTGCAACTGCTTGACTAGGACATCCCACTCTTACCAGCTTCTTCTATCAATCACTTAACCATTTAGTACTGCATTATAAAACAAAGCCTAAGTTATGAAAGCAATGCCTCTACAAAGGGGAACATAAAGCTTTAGAACTGCATGTCGTTATTTTAAATTTAATTCTCAAAGAATGCATACTGGCTGAGTTGGATTTCTAGATTGTAAATTTTGAGTACTTTTGAAGTCTTCTACTTGGAAAAGTTATTTATTTCAAGAGGTTTCATTATAACAGAAGTTATGAGAGATACTGGTAGTCAACATTTTTCTTCACATAAGAATAGAACATAATTTTAGTACAGAACGTTGATCTTGGTACAGAAAGGAAGTTGATTTGATTTTAGGTTTTTAACTTCCAGACCAGAAATCAGAAGTCAGACATTTTACTTAGTGGGCATTACAGGAAAACTTGATAGATTTAAAGAACAGGCAGGTAAGTATTTTAACCATTTTTGCCTACTGGCTAGAAAATACATTTATAGCTACTCATCATCCATTTGTAATTTCTTAAGTAAAGACATGCAAAGAAAGAACAGTGAGATGGCTACATGGTTATGGAAAAAAGGCAGAACCCCTAGCGAGAGCACCATACTGCTAGAAAGAAGAGCAAAGTGATCCAATACTAACACATAAAAAGACTGAAGAGAAAATAACACACTTTTCTTGTCATCGGCCAAAAGGTTAGAATGTCTCCTTTATGTAAATCAGAATTACAGTCTCTCACTCCACTTCAGAAGAAATGTCAAGTGACCATTGCCTTTTGGGGCTAACATTTGATTTAAAATTTAATCTGTAAATTCCACTTACTAGACTAGTATCTTCATAACAGCAGTGTGTGTGTGTGTGTGCACATCTGCATGAACAGACTGTGGATGCTAGGCCTGCTGTTCCACATAGCACTCCTTTTACAAAAGTTATAGCTCTATTTTTCAGAATGACTTTAAAGAATCAAGATTGGCCTCCCTTAGTTGCTGAATAGTTTATTTAAATATTATGGATGATATCACTGGCAAGGAAAAATAAAACAATTTAAGCTGCAATACTAACTTGCAATTTAACATTGTCTAAGGAGACTGTTCCCAATCCTTTTTCAATAGAATGCTACACTGAATTTTTTTATTGTCAAATTTAAGTGAAATGCTTTCAAAATTGAAAAAATACATTCAATAACATGAAACATGTAAACACCAGAATTACCTGGATGATGAATCAAGACACAATATTACACACCCTGATGCAAAACCAGCCGAAGCCCCACTGGGATGTTTTAAACTGTATTATACCAAACCTATCCTATTTACCTTTTTGAGTAGGGATACCTGAATGCTATTTGCCCTGGCACCCTAAATCAACACATACACATATAACAAAGCCTTATGTATCAACATCCCTAAAAAGCTATCTTCAATCATATTTGTGAATTGACCTGTATTAACATCCTTTATTGGGCAGTAAATGCAAAATGTCAGTGTTTCCTTTGGGAGTGTGGCTGTTGAATTTGCCGTGCTATTTTTCACAGATCTCATGCTATAACAGTAAATCAAACTGAATGTCAAAGATACATACACATATGAGACCAATGTGGTGAGAATGATGAAGCTATGACAAAGCAAATTTCTGCCTTATCTAAAAGAACGAAATTAACTTAAACTGAGAGCTGTTTCTTCTTTAGTATTGAAAGTTATTTTGAGTCTAAACCATAAAGGGCAAAGCCATCATATTCTAGCACCAATAGGTGTATAGCTGTCATTTCATTCCAGTATATTTTATAATGTGCTGGATGAAGAGATTTCAGTTGGAAGCCTTTGAGGAGAAACTCTTTCCCAGAAATAGCCACTGTATACAAACTGGCTGTTTGACAAATGCCTTGCATGGCAGCAAAACTGCATGATTTTGATCATTCACCCAGTACCCCTTTGGACATGTATCCCTGTTTTTACTATGCAATCCTTGTTCAAATAGGTAGTAAAAATTAGTGATCTCTATAAATACTTGGACATGATAAACAAAAGCCTTCAGCATTGTACAACCTACTTAAGGCACAGGGCACAGCTAAAAAGAAGCTATCCCACTGCCTTGATTGACAGATGGCAGCACCGCAGCACTGGGCTGCTACTGCTTTTACAAGTTAGAAAATACCAAGTACAGGAGCCATCTCACAAGTTTCAGCAAGTCTCATCAGGAGAAGGAAAGTTTATAGACTACAAACATTTCAGATCACAATCTCTTCCTCTTCCCCAGCAGAGGTACAATTTTGCTAGAAACTGGGAAAGACTGTATCCTGAACCAAGTCCTAAGGAGACACTAATGATATAGATACCTATTCTTTCCAAACAGGTTCCCCTTTTTGGCAGAGGAACCTAACTAGTCTGATTTATTGTGATTCCCCCCCTCCCTCTCAATATTTAGCTGAAGAAGCTGGAAGATACGAAGAGTGATAGACAGGCAGCAGTGTGAGGCCACAGGAGAGACATTAGATCTCAGTCCATCCATCACTGGAGAAGAGCTTTGATTGCCTGATTGTCAGTGGCTTCAAATGCAGTTAGTCCATCTGGCCCTCTCACAGTCTTATCAGCACCCTGTGAAGAGATAACAGCTGTCACTTTAGAGAAAGAGATAGAAAACAGGTTGCTCAGCTGTAACCATGGTTCTTTGAGAAGTCATATGTTCAGTTATACTTGGGCTGCAAGCTCTTCGAGTTCTAGATGTTTCCAAACCATTGCAGATGAAGAATCCAATGTGTGACTGCACATGAAAATAATTATTTGTACTAGAAACTATATCTCATGAAATTGAACTGGTACTTAAAGTTGCTTATCTTGGATATTTTAAAGAATTTATGCAGATTTTCTTATTTAACAGCAGTATAATTTCTTTAACTAGCATCACACTAGTTTGATGGGCATATGTGTTTATCTTTAAAATACCAAAGAGAACTTCCAAATCATTCACCATTTAAGATATTGGTTTTCATTAATTCCACAATCCGAACAGCATGTTAAGTTACATAGTGTTGCACTGAGGTTTCATCTTTCAGTGTTGCACTGAAAGTTTCATCTTTCTATGTAGACACTTGTGAAATTTTTATATTTGTTCCTTTTGAAGCCTTCCAAATACTACTACTGCCTTCATTTGCAGGGAGAAGGAAGGTCCTCCATGTAAACTGGTATGATGCTCTAAAGCTTTAGGAAGGAAAGGGATTTTGAGACCTTATAGAACACATTAATTAGCATACTTCTGATCATTGTTACTGCTTGTGAATTAATGCTTTAAATATCAGTTCATAGCTTTTATGCCTATTACATGATACCTATAGGCAAAATAGAAGCCAGCTTACTATAGTTAGCAGGAAAGCAGGGTAGGCAAACAGCCTAGGGAAACAGAAATTAAGTAACAAGAGAATGGAAAACATGTAAGCTACCACTTTCTAGAGGAACCCTGGAATTCTAAATTCTCCTGCTGGAGAGATCAGCAGAGCTAGCTTCAATGACTTGTTCCATTAACAAGCATTTCAATTAATTCTGTATTGGTTTAGTAAGTGTCAGCTTCCTTTTTGTGCTATTGGTGGATCCTGTTGGCACACATACAGTGTTAGCTACTGCACTTTATTGCCAATCCCATTTTCCTCTTACTTACTACTGCTACCTCATATGGGGGGGGGATCCTTTGAGATTTATAGGTTTTTTTCTGGAAAAAAGAGTTTGGATTGAGGATGGCAAATGTCCACAGTTAAAACTTTCAAACTCGGTGGTAAAGCAGTGGGCAGCAACAGAGAGAAATGAAGACATAATCATACCTAGGATGGCCAAACCCTAGTCAGGAATCTTTCAATACACCTTACTGCATTACGTTAAGAAGCAATCTGCTATAAAAACCCTTTTGGAAGTTAACAGGTAAATTATGATATGCCCACACAAGATCAACAAGCTAAAATCAAGAGGGCTGCTTCAGTATTTACAAGTGACCTGGCACTGTTTTTCACCCACAACTCTTAAGACAGGACTGATTATAAAATCTACCTAGATTATGAACTCAAGATCTGGATTTCAAAGTTTTTCTTGACTTGAACCTAGTAATGTGCTAGGGACGTATCTTGGATTTTGAGCAATGGTACTTTTATGATAAGAGATTGACACATCAGAGAACCCTTGCGTTATGAGGTAGCATAGAAATGGAATTAAACAAATTAACTTGAACATGTGTCTAAAGCAGTTCCAAGAATGGCTGCTTAACCTCTGGTTGCATGCAGTAGTTACAGACATTTTCAACTTCACAATTAGGAAAGGAGGGGTTTAAATCTTAGAGATTTCCTCTTCAGGGTCTGTGCAAACATGCTGGCCTACACAATCAGGATTTGCTTCTTGGCAGGTGCTTTAATCACTGTTATACAGTAATCTGAAAACAGCATGGAAGAAAAGTAGTTTCTGTTCTTTAACTTAAATCATCAACTTTCCATTGGTTTATCTGTACTTCTGTTTTCAAGGGGATGTTGGGCAGGTCTGAAGCACCACAAGCACACAAGTGTGTCCTGAAGACACTTAATGACTCTACTCTGTCAAAATCATAGCTGTAATGGACTACAGCCAATCACTATGATTAGTGTGTCAGCAATACCTAGGAACACTCAATCACCTGCAATCTCAACACTTGACATTTTCCAAATACACCTTATTTTGTGATGAAATAATAAATCAATTTGAGCTTGTCATTGTCCACATTTTAAAGTAAAAGAATTTCAGTAAAGCAGCATGAGAAAATAACACAAAAGGAATGGAGTGTAAGAGACATCTGCCTTGAGTGCTCACAAACTACTTGCAAAAAGGCACTAAGTTGAAACAAACATTCTCTTTGTTACTGATATTACCAGAGTCTTAATATTTAGCAAAACCAGAAAAAAATCATTATACTGTGAAGCTAGTATAAATCCCACATCTTGCCCTTTTAGCTGAGGATATGGGGAAAGTTTCCTACTCAATCTGCAAATAGCAACCTTTTTGCTAGGATATAAGGAAAAGAACACAAATAAAAGTAACAGCACTTATTTTAAAAATTCACACATCTATGCTATTTCACAATTATCATGACTGGAGAAAATATTGTTAAAATTGGGCTGAAAGGAAGGAGAATAACATCATTCGCATGCAAAGAAGGTCTTCAAGGCAGACGTATGGAAAAATGCTAAATCAGACCCAAACCAGACAGGTGGGAGTAGACTTGTGAAAGTGGCCAGCAGGGAAGAAGGTTACTCCTCCATTCACTGCTTTTCTCCATTATAATCATTTGACCTCTGAATGTTGCAAACATATGGCTTGAACCTTGATTAGGAAATAAATTGCAGAGCTTTGATCAGGGGTTCAGAATCTTAGCTCAGTAAAGTACCCACATCAAGCCCATGCTCCTTTCTCCTGAGCCCACATCCTTTTACCAAACCACTATTTGTTGATTAGTAATTCAGTGGTTAAACAATTTGTGGGCAGATTTTTTTCCCCTATCCTAAAAGTTGAAAGGCCTCTGCTAAGACTTTAACCTAAAATAAAATGTTTTTTGGACTGATCGACCCATCACTGGAATGCAGCCTTCTAGTAGATCTCCAAAATGTTAATTTGGCCCTTGAGCTGAAAGTTCTATATTTCTAGTTTGCAGTCACTATTTAACTGCATGGTGATCCAGGTTGTGCTGAACATGGATTAAACTTAAAGGAATCAACATTTTATTAGTCAAAATTCTATCAACTAATTTATGATGGAAAACACAGGAACATGACTGAAAACTGGTTATCAAAGTCAGAAAATATGGTCCTGATTTTTTTTTTAAAGTCTTGAGTATCTCCTCTGAACTTTAGTTCTTTTATACTCATCCCTAATTCCAATCTTCCAAGCCTAAAGAATAAATCCAAAAGGTTTGACTAGCTTGATACTGTGTATACTTGAAAGTGAATGATAAAAGTTCATAACTCATGTCTACTGCCTTGAAATTGAAACTGTATTGTTGGCAATAGATTTAATTTTGACCCACCATTTTAACTAACTTAAGAGTATTAAATGTGTTGTCACCAAAAGTAGAGAAGTATCCTGTCACCCTGACAAATGGGGTTGTTCTTAGAATGACTTGGCTCCAACTTCCTTTGTTTTAAAATGCCGATGTCACCACATGCACAGTGCTATAAGGAGGACTCTGTACTTCAGAAGACCAGGTTTCTAGAAATCTGTACTTTATTCATATCATCCTTAGCAATACACTGTATCTCCAGGGGAAAAAGTCCATGCATAATGTGGAAGGTTTAGGGCACAATCCCATGGCCTTCCAACACTGTCTGGGAGACCACAGGATTATGTGGAGTCCAAGTCCCAAGGTCCTGCCACCATGGTACTGGAACTCTTAAAGGTTGAGTCCCTGCTTCTCTCACAGCCAGTGTGCAAAGACCTGTGCTGACTGCCTCTTCACAGTTGCTAACTGGCCTCAGAAAGGAGGAAAGGGGTTGTGCTGAGAGATGAAGAGAAAAGAGGCTGGGGCCAACGGCTTATGTTGTATCTAGGCAGCTGAAGTCTCCCCCTCTCTACCACTTCATCCACAGTACCAGAAAGGGTTGCTCAGATGAAATACAGGGCACACGCTCTGGCAGCTTATGTGGATTGAGAGCAGGGGGCACTGGACTGTGCTTTCTGTTAACTTGAAATATTTAGCCTAAGGGAGGGGCAACCCCCAGCCTGTAGCATTGCAAGCTCTAACCAAACAACAGAATTCCCATGTTATCGTTCATGAGAGCTAACTCAGGGATTTTCCCACTTAGGTGGAGTTTACAAAACGAAGTCACCTTCTATATCACAGTCAGGATGCAAGAGGGGTGGGAAGAAGGTGCTGTACTTGGCTGGGGTTTGTAGGCCCTGGTCTTGCAAGTGTGGGCTAAGTCCTTTCCCACACTGATCAGAATGCAAGCATGGCATGTAGAATTCAGTAAGTTTTTCTATGTAGGAAGAGGCACGGGAAAAAGTGGGTGAGTCATAACATCATGGGAGGAGACAGGGCTTTGAGGCAACCTGCCATCCCCTCAACATTATCTAATCAATCTGTATGGTCTGGTGGTAGCTGGGAGTAACTCAACCTCTGGGCAAGGACAGGTTGTGTGCACCTAGTTTAGCTAATCAAAAACTAAAACACTGTACAGGGGTAATTGATGTAAACCTGGAGAAAAATATGCTTATAGGTGTCAACCAATGAGATGATCAATTAAATAACCAATTAAATATATGTACTATGAGACACTTCTGGTGCCTTTTGGAGATGAATGATTTAAACACTACATATTAACATCCAGTATTAGAAGGAAAGCCCATTTAATTTTCTTTCTCATTTCCTGTCCTCCAGAAACAAAACAGAAAACCCTACCCTTAATTTTCAACTTTGCTTATGAAATCCGTTCTTGTTTACTAATCGAAAGCTTGCAGCCCTAATTTTATCAAATAAAGATGCAGTTGTTAAAGTGACAGGGAAACTCTACCCACAAATCCTTCCTTCCTGCAGAAATTAACCATTTAGTCTTAGTAATTACATTCCCTAGGGAGAGACCAAGGAAATTTTCTATTTGGCTTCAAAGTAGTTACTTTGCTTATCACAGAAATAATCACAGATCAAGAAATTTGCTGAAGACCTGTAACTCAAGCTCAGCAGTAGACTCCATCTTATACATGCAAAATGCCCCCAAAAAATCGTTGTCGTGTGAAAAATCTGAGGTAGCAGAACTAAGAAAGATTTGCCATAGACCATGAAGAAACACTTACAAGGTACACTGATCTAGCACAGTGTAATAACAATAATTTTATTTCCATGCAGTCTGGGCAGTTCACAACAATAGCCTGACTGCTTTAGTACAGGACAGTTTTTATATCCTACAGATGTGGCTGTTTCAAAATTCAGCACCTCCACCTGCTCAATCACTGCTCTAGTATCTCAGTCAGGCACAAAATCTCTCCCCCAGTCCCTTGCTGCACTAAACATTTGATGCCATCACAATAGCTGAGATGTTTTTAAAGGTAAATATATAAGCTGATTTCGTCTACAAGCAGGGCAGGAAGAACTCAGCAAGCTTTTCTGTGTAGCAAAAGGCATGGGAAAAAGTGGCTGGGCCATGATCACATCACAAAAATGTACAGGGCTGAGAGATGGCCTGTCAATTACCTTTTCTTTCCTTTTGCATCTTGTGAGAGCTTATGGTCAAAGGCTTGTACTTTTCCATAGGCTTTTCAATAGTTCAACAGGGGGAGTTTGCAACCTAGAGGAGGAGGGTAGGTTGCTCTTTTCCTCTTTATCCTACCAAAGCGCCCATGACAAAAGAGTACAAAGGCAGTACCTTAGATCTACAGGAACTTCTTTTTAATGACAGGCCAGCTGCTGGGAAGACAACCATCAACAATTTGATTTTGGATGCTAAAAATTATCTCTCACATCCCTGAGGCCTGACCAAGGGAGAAGTGCATCTTAGTCAACTCTATCTGCCTAGGTAATTCATGGCACAGTAGGCTAATATTGGGGGAGGGGCAGAAGAAGGAAGGTGGAGTGGCAACAGTGAATAGGAATTCTCTCATTAACCAGATGCTGAGTCTGAAAGTCTGTTAATTTTGAGTACACAAGCTCTGGTTGGAAGCTTCTGACCACATATATGACCACTATGTATGATTTTTTTATAAAAAGGAGACGGCACCTAGCTATACTGACCTTAGTCACTTAACAAGGAAGTGGTGACCAAGACACAAAAGTTACTAGAATTGGTGTGGTATATGGTTACAGCACTGGAGACCTGGGAGATCTGAGTTCTTGTCCCCACTCTACCATGCAGCTGACCATATGACTCCGGGCAGGTTACCCACTCTCAGGTTAAACTACCCCACAAAGCAACTATGTGACCTCCTCTGGGCTTCTCACAAGAGGAAACAAGGCAGGATATAAATGCAATGCAGTGATAATATCTTATTGTATTTTGTTATGAATAGTTCAGAGAACTTCAGCTATTGGGAAGTACAGATATTTAATGATTATGATGCTATACCCTTAAAAGCATATAAAATTGAACCTGACCGCAGTATACAGAACAAGCTGAAATTAGATCTAGACCATGGGTCCTCAAACTACAGCCTGGGGGCTGGATCCAGCCTGCCATGCCCATTTGGACCTGCCGCACGTGTGCCCGTGCCCACTGCCACCCACCTCGCCCCCCGCGTGGTGAGGCAGCAGTTTGCTCACTCGGAGAAAACGATCTCCAAGCAAGCACGCCGCTGCCTCGTGCACCCACCTCACGGGGCGTGCCCATCCCAGCTCCCCTCGCCATGTGCCCCGCCCCTCGCGCACTGCCAGCACCACCTTTCCGGCCCGCACCCAGCACTGGCACCTTACAACTGGCCCCCTGGTTAAAAAGTTTGAGGACCCCTGATCTAGACCAGGCAGAAACACTGTTTAGCAGTAGAAAGCTGGGCTCAGGAAAGATCAGAGTCATAGCTTGGAATGTGCCTTGATGCTGTGCTGTGCAAGATTTCCAGGAGGTGGCAGTGAGGAGCATATGAACAATTATGTTAAATGCAGCAGATGCAACATTTCCTGAATGTCTAATCTGGCAACAATTATCCAATTTTGGTCCCATTGTGGCTATAGCAATCTTAAAGAACAGCTACAATCTTCAATGTGTGTACAATAGGACCATTAGGCTGTTAACTGGTACACAGTATCAAGAACATCTTATTGCAATAGTGGGCAAACTGCACTGGATAGGCCTTACTTTCCCAGCTCAGTTTGAAGTGTTGATTTTAACTGGCTTAGGGCCTGGTTATCTAAACAACTACCTGTCTTGCTTTTAAATGCCCTGCAATGAACCTATCTGTTCCTCATTAAAATACACAGAAGAAACCTTTCTGTGGCCATCACTGTTCGTACAACCCCTTTGTTAGGCAAGTATGAAAGGGCTTCCTCTTGTAATACTCCCTAATAATTGAACACTCTTATTTGTCCCCATAATCAACTTTTCAGAAAAATTAGGATGCAACTTTTTAATTTGTGGTCTTAGATTTAATAGTGGTTTTAACACTATTTCAGTGTTGGTTGTTTATCTGATCTGTTATATCTCTTGGTGACTCATGTGAAGGAGGTATAAAATGCTATAAATATTTGTTCTCTATAAATTATGAAAATGAAATTTTTGAAAGCTTTATTGAATTGTTATGTTGATGCAAATATCACAATCCAAAGGCAAATCTAAAATTCTCACCTTTGACAAGAGTAACTTCACACAGGAGATATGGCCTTCATAAACTGCTGAAAGAAGTGGAGTAATGTTGTGTTTATCTGGAGCCTATAAAAAGAAGAAAGGGCATCAAATAAGAATTTAAGAGTTTACAAAACATCCACCTGGTATATATTATTGGTTAAAATGCTCTGATAGCATTAGGAATAGTTTGCAGCTATGTAAGAATAAGAAATAACAATTGAGAAAGAAAGAGTGGCTGCAGATGTTCTTTATATTTGATGAAAAAATGGCTGGTGCTTACATGCAAAAAAGGATTTAACTGCACCAGCACATATTTAGAACCAGCAGTAACTTTTCTAAATGCATTTGGGGCACTCAACTTCACCTGTTGAAGGAACTTTATACTCCTCTGCCAGTATGTTCTGACCTTTGGCTTCCTCTCTGAAAGGCTTAGTTCCACAAAGCCCTGCTTGTGGAAAGTGATTTTAAATGGCAGTGGTGGGGAATGTGTAGGAGAGAATCAACAGATGGCTAAAGGAGAAGTGACTACTGATGACTCTTCCCTAGAAAGGCTGCCTCTTTCCTCTATATTTAAGGAAAACAGAGGACTGGGAACCTTGTGTTTCCACTGTAACATGTCGTTTCATCCTAAGGTTAGAGAAATAAATTAACCTGAAAACATAAAAAAACTTATTTGGAGTTCCTAAAACTGTAGTGGCAAGAAAGAAGTATCCAAGCCTGTATTCAATTTTTGCAACTTTTCTTTTATGGCATCTTTCCAGTAGGCAAGACTTGACCCCCGGGGGTGGGAGAGGGCACAGAAAGAGAAAATCAAAAACATAAAGAACACATATTTATAGAATGTGTCAGGAAATTTAAGTACCAAAACCAGTCATGAAAAATTGGGATAGAATGCACATAAGCAAACTACCAGACTTTAATCTAAATAGTACACAAATATCCTGCAAATAGTACTTTCCAAGATGACAACCTTACTAGCATAAGTAAGGATTTACCCATAGGTATGACAGTGAATATTTAGTCCATTAAAATGGAAACACAGAAAACTTGCCTTCAACTGTTTGATCCATCCAATTTAACTTCATTAGTGATTTTTTTAAATGGTTAATCAAGGCTAGAGGCAGAGTAGTTTCTCAAAGTACTGCATGCAGCATTAGTATCCACAGTGTACATACTCTATTATTCGTAATAAATTTGATTTTGTACTGCTTCAAAGATACAAAAAATCTGTTTGACCAATGGCAACACCAGAAGAGAACCAGTTGGTGCATATACCAAGAGTAACTATGCCTCTTTGTTATCATTTTGCATTCTTAAGAATTATCATTTGTCTACAGCCAATGAGAGAGAAAGAGAACTTTATCCAAGCCTGACTGATTTTTATCAACATACATTAATATCAGCTCCCTTTAGTAGAAGAAACTCCAGGATCTCAAGCTGTCCACAATCTGCAGCGTAGTGAAGAGGTTTCCTCCCACCTTCCAGTGTCCGATTAACATCTTCACCCTTCAGTATTAATAAAGGTTAATCATTTTATATAACTCCTTTGTAAAATATAACAATGATCAATGGGTAGGCAATACACTATTATTTAAATACACTACAGCAAAGTAACCAATATTTGCATAAAATAGTTATTTCAGAATTTAGTGGAATGTGGAGAAGGCAGTCTGAAAAGCAATGCCTCATTCCAAGAATCAAGAGTGCCTGAGATCTGTGACATGTTTTTCCAACTATTGATCACAACAGTTTCTTTTTCCGATTCCTTTTATGCAGACATACCTCTTTTCTTTTTAACAGTCTCCCTGCATGCCACAACAATCTGTCTGTTCATAGCCTGAAGGTCCATCATTATTAGGACCACTAGAATACTTGATCTGGTTAGCAGCCATTAAATCTAATTTCTAGGGTGCTATCAGAAGAGTAGCAACTTCACTTTGAAGCATTTTACAAACTTCTTAATTTGAGGTTATCTTAATTTAACTACATTTCTCCACCAAGCCAAGAGCCTGAACAGGCTTCAAGGTATGGGCTCTTAAAGGTAAAGCCCTCTATTATTTTCAATATACAAATATTAAATTATGCTAACCAAACAACATAACCATGTAGCAAATAACTAAGTAAATACACATTTAAAAATACATGTAAATTGTTCATCTTTGTCTAGTGCAGTCTTTCCCAACTGGTACCCTCCAGATGTCTTGGCCTACTAATCCCTACAATTCCCTGATAATAGTCCGTGGAGCTGAAAGGGGCTAGACTGCAAAATATATGGCGGATGCCAGGTTGGGAAAGCCAGCCTAGTGCCAAATAGATAATTTAAACTTGCTGCTAATAATCATTGTGCTTTTTCAAGTTCTCATCTTGTTTTCATAATTATACGTAGACTACTCAAGGATGTTCTTGTCAGTTTAACATTAACAATTGATAGTTTTAAACAAACAGTGTGCTATAAAAATCTGAAAAATAGTTTAACTGACGCAGGTTTATGAAGATGGGTCAGATCATCTGGTTCTACATCCTGTTTTCCAGTAATGACCTAGAAGGCTCTTGCTTCTCAGCAAATTGTACTCAGGAGCATACTGCCTCTGAACCTGGTGTTTCTCTGTGGCCATTAACAGACATATTTTCCATAACTTTTATTTCAGCTCACCTTAGAAACTATAAAGAAATCAAAATTGTTGCTATATTTTGTTTGTCACTCTGCAAAGTGTCAGAACTGTTTATAACACTATATATAAATTCTAAAGAAAATGAATACTCCCAACATATTAAATATTACACAATGCCTCAAGTTAAAGGTGTACTTAAGATTGCTATACTTGGAAAAATCTGCAGAAAAATCTGAGAAACCTAATAGCGTAGTTTGGATGATGTGACTACTCACGCTGTGGCACAAGGCAGACAATGTGGGTAAACTGCCTGAGATGCTACAATATGCCCAATAGACAACTGGACACATTCTGAGTTGCTGGTCCCCTTTGTGGTCCTCCCACAGGTATCACAGGAGAGATCTCACAGTGAGTGAATCTTTCTCCACAGCTCCCAGTGCTGTAAATGTTTCCTGGAGAACATGAAAAGTGGTTATGCAGCCACCTTTCATGATCCCCAGTCTGGCAACCACAAGGAGTCAGTCTCTCTATCTGAGCCTGACCCACTCCAAATCCACCCACCTCCATGCAAAGCTCCATTTTTAAAGGGAGGTACCTGTCAAACGTGGGTTCCCTGTGAAAGAAAGGAGGAGGGTGGGGGGAGATACATTTTAAGTCTTTCCCAAGCCTCTACAGACTCAGGGTAAAGGCTAAAATTTACTCTCCACAAAGACTTGAAGGGATGGGAGGAAAAAAAAGGATCTTGCTGAAAAGGAAGTATAAATCTTAAAACTACTCCTTCTCAGGGAAAGCCCCTCACATTGTTTTACTTCACAGTCTACCTTCAGTGTACTGACAAGGGAAACCAAGGAAGGGGGGAAATGAATTGCAAGCCTCCGCCCCAGATGAGGATTGAAATCCACCTATTTGTATTTCTGCAAACAATTCCAGTCATGTAAATAAGACTGAAAAATAATGACTTTTTGTTCATATTATCTGTGTACAAAAAATTACAAAAATTATAATTGCTGAACCAGCTCATGGCTGTCAAACCTGGGAGCCAGGGCTCACAGTGGTGGTGCCGAGGAGGCTTCTGCCAGCCACCCCAAAGTGCTGCTTGGCAAGAGCGGCAAGGAGTCTGACACTCTTGCCAATCAGCTCATTAGCAGTCTTCGTTGACACGTGATGGGCTATGTTATCCACACAAAAACCCATTGTGGGTCAAACAAATCCTACAAAACACCATAGTTTGTCAGGATGGCTTATATCCCAAACTTAAGCCACCTGACAAATTCATCACCAGTTCACATGATGCATGATGTCAGTGATTCACTCTGTTAATATAGTTTTCAGCATATTATTATTCATTACATTTCTTTACTGCCCACAGCCAAAGCACTCTGGGAGGTTCACAACATTAAGACACCCATCCAAGTTTCAACCAGGCCCAACCCTGCTTAGCTGCCAAGATTAGCCAGGATGAGGTACTTCAGGCTATATGGAAGCATATATGGAAGATATGACAGAATGCCAAGCTTACTAAAGTATGAATAGTGACTTTTCCATTTCTTGGATCAGGATTCAAGAACTGTTTCATATACCCTTCATTTATTAAAACTCAAAGGCTTCTAGACAGTGCAGATACTGTACTTCCCATCCTGAATAAAACTCTTGATAAAGTCTAATCATTTAACTGCCATTGTTCATTTGCCATCTCAAATTGTAAAAGTGAATTAAATTTGTATTGTCTTTTTCCATTCAATACACTATGGCATCAGTCTATAAAAAGGCACAATGAATAAATTTAGTGATAAATGATTTAATAATTTAAAATGCTTATTACGTTTCCTTTTCGATTAAGCCAATCCAGCTATCTTTGTTTTTTACTCTGCCTTTTGCATTTCCCTATTGTTCCACTAAAAGATTATTTCTCTGAAAAAGGAATTCCGTCAAATTGCTACAGAATGCTCATCAGCACTAATGCTATAATCCCTTTGGGCCACTGAATGCACACCTCTTAGTCTGATGTTACTTATTCGTAACCTGAAGAATACAAATGTCCACTTTCATGTATTTTCTCCTCTGGTTCTTACTAATAACTACTTAACAGCTCTTTCCAGGACAATATTAACCTTACTGCTTGTACAGATACTGTGTGTTAGTACCTGAGAATCTAAGAAAAATAACTAGATTCATTCTTAGAAAGCTGTAACAAACCTATCACTTCAGGATGAGATCAAAATGAATTCTGGCTCCTAATTAAAGTTCTTGGAGTTTTATTCCTACAGAATGAAACATTCCTACAAATGTCTTACATTTCCTCAAGGTAAGTGTAAACGATCAGGTAGTGGAATAATTCTCTATCACACTAAAAAGGTTCTGGCTGTAATTATAAAGAAAAAGATCTTGCAGATCAAAGTAGTGAGCTCTTTGGCTTTCAGCTGGTTAGAAGTGTTACAAAAGGAACTGTGAAAGCACAAAGCAGCACCCCATCACTAAGTCTATAGCATATGGTACTTAGACCATACATTTAGGTTCTTTTTATGTCAAAGAGACAGAAGGATTCTACAGGCTCTCTACTCCAAGCTCAACTCAATACAGGACATCTAGAGCCAAAGCATCTTTAAAAGATGGTGGTCTAGCATCTGCTTAAACTCCTAGCAACTGACAGCCCACCTATCTATAACTGAAGTTAAAGCCTTGCTCTCTGGGGTAACAAAGAATAGTCCTTTGTCTTCTATGTGACAGCCCTTCAAGGTATTTGAGGACCCTTTTGGGCATCATGTCTCCACTCAGTCTTCTCTTCTCCAGGCTAAACCATATCCAATTCTCTTTCATAGGACTTGTTTTTCATACTACTTGCCATTTTTGCCATCTTTTGGAGCCACTCTAATTGATCTATAACTCTTCTTCAAGTGTAGAACCTGGAACTGTACACAGAGCTCTAAATGAGGTCTGTCAATTAATGTATGGAACACAGGGAGCTGTTTGGCTTGACTAACCACATGGGTTTAAAATTCAGTTGGAGAAAGATGAAAAGCAAACACCCCTGCAAGTCAAACAAAAGTCAAACTCAGCATCAAAAAACACATGCTTGAAGAACTCAAAAGAATTATATAGTGTATCATGTGACACATGTCGATTATTGCTTCACACAAATATGGGACATCACTACTATACTGTTGTATTGCCCTATATTTGTAAAACACAGAACATAAAAACAGGCAAAGGTCAATTCCATATTATCTGTTTTACGTAAAGGAAAGATTTTTGGTTGTTTTGTTTTTTAAAAGATGAGGTCAAGCAGAGGGATAGAAAATAGATGAGTACACCTTGAATAATTTGCTTGAATGATATTCAAGACAGAAAGGCCTTTATAGTTAGCTGTGCATATTGATATATGCCACCCTTGCAGAAATCTTAGGAATGTGGCATCAGCAACGGATGCCCTTCACCGGGAACCCTCTGTGAATTATATTAGGAGGGTGAGTACCCGGAGGAGGGCTTTCTCTGTGGTGGCGTCCCATCTATGGAATACGCTCCCCAGAGAGGTCCACCTGGCGCCGTCGTTATTTGTTTTTCGGCGCCAGGCTAAGACCTTTTTATTTAAAACTTATTTTAATTGCTAAATTATTGAATTAATCAGGATTTTAAAATTAGCCGAGAATGCACCAGGGGTTTTTAAATGTTTTTTTTCTTTTAAATTATTATATTATTATTTATGTATGTATTTTTTGTGAGCTGTATTTTTTGTGAGCTGCCCCGAGGCTTTGTTGCAATGGGGGCGGCATAGAAATGTTTTAAATAAATAAATAAAGGGTGTGAGATGCATTTCCTCTTCTCATTAAATGGACAATGTTTAAGATACATACATCTTGCAAGACCTTTGTGAAGTAAGACTTCTGGCCCACATGTATGGCTTCTATAGAATGTAACATATCAATGCTCATCATTAGCTCAGGAGCTGGTGCTCAGCAGCACATGTGCAAGTTCCTTGATAATACAGTGAAGAGCCTTGTTTTAGAAAGCAAAGAGGGTACCCAGGCAAGGAGTGGGGAATCGTCCTGGTTACCATTTACCTTTACAGCTTCTGTCCCCAAGTCATTTTCTCCTCGGAGCTCCAAGATACAAAAGTACCCTTTGCTATCCAAATGTTTCCTGAGGGACTTTCTTACCAAAAACCATCTTATATCTTACTACATAAATGAAGAAGTTTCACATTTAAACAGAATGAACAACTTGTTTGGCCCCCACTTTAACAAAATTCCATTGCCTGCCTTCCACTTCCAGGATCCTACAGTTTTAAATCACCAGAATGCCCTTTGCATTAAGATTAATCTTCTGAATATTCCCTCAATAAATGAAGACTTCTTGGGGATTTAAAGCACAAAGTACCCCTCAATAAAACTTGTGTCATATGTAAGGGTGAAATGTTGCAGTCCCATTAGAAGAAAGTCTTTGAAGTTGGAGGCTTCCAAGTATCCAACATCTTACTGGACTACTGCTAGCAGATTTGGAAGAGTGAACAGGTGATTTTCGCCTCTCACACAACCTTATTTCTTTTTCTCTAGACCAGTTCCTAAACTTGACTAGAAGAGGTGTAATGCAGGAGTTAGGCCTAGAGAAACTTTTGTATCCTAGCTCATCTACTTCTCTCCCTTCACCTCTCCATGGAACACCCAGTTTTGATCTCTACCAAAGTATTTATTTGAAATATTTTTGGCCACCTTTCAGTGCAGGAGCCTCCCAAGGCAGCATACAACAAACAAGAAAAGAAGTGTAATAAAAACCAATGCAATATTAAAAACAATGAAATCAGAAACCACAAACATAACAGGAAGGCCAGAGTAAAATAATGTGTTCATGTTGAAATAAAAGGGTCTGGGGGACCCCCAATGACAACTTATTCCAGAGGTTTGGGCTCACTGTGGAAAAGGACCTCTCTCATGCTGTCAAAAACTAGTGCTTTAACATGTGAACAAAAGGGAAGAACCTTTCTTGCTGATGTTAAGGTGTGGGCAGGCTGTCTTTCAAGTAATTTCAGGTAAGCAATGTTGTTCTTTCCATGGAAGCTGCAAAGGGAAGCAGGAGGGATGAGATCTGAAGTCTGTCTCCTGAAACTATTCCTGTCCAGGGACCATAGGATAGTGCCTGTAATAGTTCTATTTTAAAGAACTTAACAATGCTATCCCACAAATAAGAAAATGAAAATAAAAAATTGTAACTGGGAAGCTACCAGAGCTTGAACTCAGGACTATAGGTTGAAGGCCTATAGTGTTTTCTGCAACTCTTATTCTCATTATACTATTCGTCATTACTACTATTGGCAGCAACTCTTCAAACTGCCATTCGTTTAACCACCACAAATGCATATGTAAGCAGTGAAAACCCTTGGCTGAACTAGCTTTAACTTTGCCCTCGTATTGCACAGCATATGTTCTCTCTCCTACTCTCCCACACACAGTTCAATTAAAATTTGTGTTAGAGTAAGGAAGCAGAAAAGGACAGAAGACAAAACAGCAAAAAGTTTTCGGCACAATGCATGTTTTACCAGGTTTTGCTAGGCCTAACCATCATTTTGCTAGCCATATTATAAGAACCTGGCTGGATAAAAAGTACTAAAAGGGTTTTAATCTATTCCAGTTTTTCATTGCTGTCACCTTTACCTCAACACAAACTTAGCAGAAAGTTGGTAATCGGAATGGGCTGCATCATCTTTGCCCTCTAAAAATTATGCCTCATTTTAGGACTGATAATGCTTTCTACACAAGTTTGCACCAATGGATCACTTTTGCTCAGCATTCTCAGAGTGAGGAGGAGGTACGCAAACAGATAGCCAAATTGTTCTTTATATCATTCTTCAAGTTGTAGAACAATGCAATTTTTTTTTAAGACAACCAAAGTGTGGTGGCCCTTGGGGGTATAGAACTTCCTCAATCCCATATAATTATCTGAAGAGACCAACTTTTTACTTCCTACCTTAATCTAGATCTATGGAACCTCCAGAGTGGATGTAACCTATAGACTTGAAGTATCTGTATGGTGGTATAGTGATCACTGTTGAAATATTATCTCTTGCTTAATGATAGGTTAGTACAGTGAATGTTTTACTAATGAAAATTAAAAGATTAAAATGGCAATACAAACACTAGGCCGCTATGCTACAGATTCAATAGAACTGAAACAATCAAGATGAGTCTTTGTAGATGTGGTTCTACAAAACAACTAAATTTGGGGGTGGTGGGTGATGCTTCCTTCCATGTTGCTTGGGAAAACAGGACAAAAAAACAAGCTTTCATAGTCATGAGCTTATTTGGGAGAGTCAGTCTGGGGTGGAAGAAATGGTGAACAGAAAAATACCTGACCCAACATGTGTAGCACCGGCCCCAACCAGGCCCAAACACAAAACAAGAATGGTGGGAGGAAACTAGGCCTCTACCTAGAGGAGCTTTCTGCCTTTTGCACCCTGTTATCATTAGGATATCCCTAAGGCTACATCCTTTCTCTGGCCAATCCCTCCCCAAGTCTTCACTTGAAGCAGGGACACCCATCCACTCCTCAGCATGATTCCTGGTGTCAAGACTCAGTCCCAGAAGAGGTGACGTAGGGCAAGGGCTCTTCAGAGCATGTGTAGATAGCGCCAGAAGGCCTCACACTCGAAACTGGTAGAGGAGGCCAAGAACACGCCTATCAGAAAGGCTAGAGCCCCGGCACTTTTCAGGTTGCGACTTCAAAGGGAAAACCACTCCCAGGAGCAAGAGGAGGAGGAGGGCCGCTTCGGCGGTGGGGGAACCTCCCCATCGCTTCAGGCCCAGGAGGGGTAAGAGACGCCAGGGCTCCTTGTTCGCTAGGCTCCCGCGGCCGGCCGCCCCGCCTTACCTTGGCCACGTAGTCTTTCACCTCGTCCAGGTCTCCGTTCTTGAGGGCCCACATGAACTCCTTGTCCGACATAGCGGCTGCCGCCCTGACAGGGGACAAGGCGAGAGAGCCCGGCAGCGCTCACGAGACCAAGAGCGGCGGCGGCGGCGGCGGCAGGGAAGGAGTGGGCGGGGCTCGCTGCACCGGAAAGGGGTGAGGCGGCGGTTGGGCTGCTGCCTCTCGTGGCGGGAAAGGGTGGCGGGCACGGCGGTTAGCGCTGCAGCGGCCTACGGCAGCCTCAACACGCCCTGAGCAGGAAGAGGCCGGGAAAAGGGAAACCCAAAACCAGCGATAAATTTTTTATCGGAGCGTCTATACAGAAACAGTTCATAAAACACAGATTTGTGAAGCTCTCCGTTTCTTGGCTTGCACCACTTCCGCCCACTACGTCGGCCCACGCCAAGAAAGAAAAGGTGAGGCAAGCCCATGCAACGGCGCACGCGCCATGAAGACGGCGGGCCCTTCCCCCACACACGGCCCGCCCCTATCGGCTGCAGGCTTGCGGAGCATGCGCAAGGAGGAGCGTCTAGTCACTCCTGGAAACGGGAGAGCACCAGAGGGGAAGATCACTGGGCATGCGCATATGAGCCAAGCAGGCGGAAAGGGGGCAGAGCGCCGTTGTTGCTTGGTTCGTGGGGTGAACGTAACGCGCAGACGTCTTGGCGGATGCGGGTGGGGAACTGCGCGGGCTTTCAGTTTAGTAGCTTTGGGTCTTCTCTACCTTTGCAATAAAGCAAACTGATTTCAGTTCGTTTTTCCCTAAATACGCGTGAAAGAATCGCAGACTTTTCGCAGCGCAATCTGCTCAGAGAACCCCCATTAATTTTAATGGAATTCCCTGGTTTGCAGGTATAGGATAGCGACGTTAGGTCGCCATCCGCTGAAAAGTCATCTGGGGTCACACCCCACTGAACTCAGCGGGACGTATTTCTCAGCGGGCGTTTATACTGAGGCAATGCAGTGTTAAACGGTTCTACTCGGACGGAACTCCGGTTAATTCAGCGAGGCTTGCTTTCAGGCTACTGTAGGACTATAACCTTAACTGTCTGGAAATGCAAACAGGTAGTCAAACTATTCATTAGACTAAAATGAAAAGAACATTTTTTAAAACCAGCCTGAGAGTCTTGGCTCTTGGATGGTATAGAAATTAAATGAGCATCACAAAAGTCCAAAGAGTGGGAAATGAAGTGGTCTTGGGAAGCTTAGTATTCCTTATACTCATCTTCAGGATCTGTTTCTAAGATATTAACAGTGTAATACTCTACACACATCCTTGGTCACAAACCCCACTGAATTTGCTTGCTTCTCAGTAAACATATGTAGAAACTTCATGCAGATACCTTTTCTCCTCTCCAGAACTTTGTACCATTGCAACCTGTTCTCATTAGTTCTTTGTTCCTTTTATTAAAATATTACGATAACTGTTTAAAATGAATCCGTATTACAAAATAACATCAACAGAGACATGGCATACATATTTTAATAAACTAGAATGTGCAACAATCCTATAGTTACTCAGAAATAAGTTCAGTTGGACCTTGATTCTTAGTGTGACTCAGAACAAGTTCATTTAAAGTCAATGGACCTTGTTCCCTAGTAATTGCATTTAGGATGCAGTCTCAAATAACATTTTATATACAATTATTTTAAAAGGAAGGATAGGGCATAACGTGTGTTAACATTTGAATTGTTAAATTCCTTTTCTAAACTATGATAGATATTCTTAATGACATTAAATTCAAAACTTAGACTCCTTCCATCCAACTTTCAGTCTGGTTAAAAGACTGAATCAGCTTTGTCTACCTTGTTTAAGGACCTTTATTATGGGAGGAATGTGGATATGCAACTCTGTTATAAGCCAAGAGATATTAAGCAGAATTATTACCAGCAATCATGGTATCCTCCTAGATTGATTCTGCAAGTTCGCATCGGAGACATTGTGTCACAGTTGTTCTGTGCAGGTGATTTTTGAGAGTAGTGTGGGGTGAGCTGTGGAGTTCCATAGGATGCCTTCTTGTTCCCTATGATTTTTTAACATCCATATGAAGTTGCAGGGAGTGATTGTTGGAAGATTAGGAGCCAAGTACTATTAATATGCTGATGACACACAGATCTGTCTGTATGACAGCAGAAACTCTGTAAGTCCTGGATCAGTACCTGGACTTAGTGATAGGTTGGATGAAGGCCAATAAACTGAAGCTGGATCCTGATTAGATTGTACCCCTGAGAGCGCATTGGTCCTGAATTCACGAGATAGGCTTGTTGCCTGTTCTGAATTTCATTGTACTGCTTCTGAAAAATCAGGGATCTCTTAGATCTAGCATTGTATCCAGATACCTGAATGACCATGGTGTTATTTACCAACTTCTATTGGTTCATTAGCTACAGCCTGGCCTGGATAGGATCAGCTTGATCACAGTGATACAGATTGGAGACCTCAAGAATTAATTATTCTGATGTGCTAAATGTGAGGCTGCCCTTAAGGCTGCTCTGGTAGCTGCAGCTAGTGCTTAATGTGGCAACTTGGCTGTTATCAGAAGCTGTTCCTTTTCAGTATGCAGTACCTTTACTGAAGAACTGGGTTGGCTGCCTATTCACTTTCAGGCCAGGTTTAATATCCTGGTATTAGTATGCAAGGCCCTGTACAACTTGGGGCCAGAATACTTAAGAAACTATCTTCTCCCTTTCTGACATGCCCAGCAGTGAGGTCACTGGAGGACATTTTTCTGATGGTTCAACCTATTGCCTCACACACGAAAACACAAGACTCCCAAGAACTATACATACACTTTAACAAAAGCAGACCAAATACACATTTGTTTGCAAGTACCCTCCATATACTACCGATTCAAATGTGGAAACTGTTATAAGATCTTACCCAACACATTCTGGGAGGTGAGTGTTAATCCTTCCACTGTTGACACCATGTTAACTTTCAAGGAGCAGGTAGTTAGCTTAAAAGAGCATGGTCATAATTAAATAGCATGATCATAATTGAATATTAAGAAGATACAACATGTATCCATATTATGGCCTTCTCCCCAAAAGGGCAACTACCTGACATTGCAAGACCATATTCTCCGAGGAAACATTAGCTGTGTTATACCTCCAACAATTGTCTAACTTACTCCAACTGTTACTAAAGAGATGTTGGGTCTGGTGCATATGAAACACAAGATATATGACTAAGACACTACCAGAGAGCCACCTGTGATGGTGCTCTTAAAGCAGACACAGGTTGCTACAGTGTGGGCAGTCTGTCAAATAACCTAACTTAAGATTGGTTAGGGCTTTAAAAGTCTACCCCAGCGCTTTGAATTAGACCTGGCAAAGCAATGTGTTAGACATTAAATAGAGCTACAGCTGAGTGACCTGAGAAGATTATGAATCCATTTAAATACAGCTGCATGATTATGAGGAGGCACCATTAATGCACAGAGACCTGCCAGCCATGCCTCATTAATGGGTGGTGAGTATGTAGAGAAGATCCTTGGGTGTTCAGACTTCCTTTTTCCTTTACCCTTTGTACTGCTGAACCTTGAAAATGTGAAAAGCTTCTAGAGTTTTTGGAACAAACTGACAGGGGTTAAGTGCTCATTAAAATTAATAGGAATGGCTAAGTTGCTTATTTGTGAGAAGACAACAGATCTCATCTCTTTTCAGTCTGAATAATTACTGATTTCACTAGCAAATGGAGAGATGAGCAATATATTGGAATATTTTATTTCTGGTAGCCTTACCCTTATTAAAATGAAACTTTTTTATAGTTATCAAGCATGACCTGTCAAATATGGTTATTGTTTGTATCTGGCAGCCATATCCTATATATTGGTATATACCTAACCACCTGAGAATGTTCCGGCGGCACTGGATGATATAGCCTTAGGGCAAGTTTTAAGGCGAATTTACTTGATAATTTTTGGCATGGGAACAAGAGCACAAGTCAACGCTTCCTTGTTATTTTGCTGAATTGATTCTTGATTGTGTCCTCCAAAAGGACATCACCCCCATTACAGTTTTCTTTGTGCCACTGGAAGAACCTTTGAAAAGTACATTGCACTGAAATTCAATGGACATCCGAATTGCAATGTACTGCAGTTCGGATGTCCATTAAAGCTTTCACACATCAGGCTCGCTACACCCAAATTTATGGAAATGATTTAGTTTGTGGGAGATGACTTTTCAGTATCCTACATTTCAGAAGAGCTCATAAAATCCTTGTCCCAACAGGATTGGACGATTTACCTTCTCCTGGGCTTGGGCTTAAGTAGACCAACCCTATTCCACTTTAACAGTGTAACTCTGTTGTTGTTGTTAGTTGTGAAGTCGTGTCTGACCCATCGCGACCCCATGGACAACATTCCTCCAGGCCTTCTTGTCCTCCACCAGCCCCTGGAGTCCACTCAAGCTCACACCAACTGCTTCAGTGACTCCATCTAGCCACCTCATTCTCTGCCGTCCCCTTCTTCTTTTGCCGTCTATTGTTCCCAACATTAAACTCTTCTCCAGGGAGTCCTTCCTTCTCATTAGGTGGCCAAAGTATTTGAGTTTCATCTTCAGGAACTGGCCTTCTAAAGAGCAGTCAGCAGTCTCCACTAGGACTGACCAGTTTGATCGCCTTGCTGTCCAAGGGACTCGCAGGAGTCTCCTCCAGCACCACAATTCAAAGGCCTCAGTTCTTTGGTGCTCAGTCTTCCTTATGGTCCAGCTTTCACAGCCATACATTGCAAGTGGGAAAACCATAGCCTTGACTATACACACTTTTGTCGGCAGGGTGATGTCTCTGCTTTTTAGTATGCTCTCTAGATTTGCCATAGCTTTCCTCCGAAGGAGCAAGCGTCTTTTAATTTCTTGGCTGCAGTCCCCATCTGTGGTGATCTTGGAGCCCAGGAAAATAAAATCTGTCACTACCTCCGTTTCTTCCCCATCTATTTGCCAGGAAGTGAGAGGACCGGATGCCATGAACTTAGTTTTCTTAATGTTGAGTTTCAAGCCAAGCTTTCTCTGCGGTGGCGCCCAACCTATGGAATTCACTCCCCAAAGAGGTCCGCCTGGCACCGTCGTTACTGGTTTTTCGGCGCCAGGTAAAGACCTTTTTATTTAAACATCATTTTAATTATTAAAACATATGATCTGGCCAGGGCAACTTCTTCTTCCTTCTCTTTTCTCCTCCTATATTATTTATTTACTTATA